TCATCTCGTGATCATAAGACCATTGATATCGAAACCTATAAAAACTATAAACCTCACACTGGCTTTATCAAAACAGAATGTCACAAACATGTGCAACAGCTTAACTTGTACTGTCCCAGTCATTTAATTCCTTGCTGTGATGAATGTATTTCCACAAGTCATTCAAAATGTACTGGTATAAAAAGTTTAGCTAGTGTAGTGGACAAAAGCAAATTTGAAAAATCAAAAGAATCTGTAGAAAAAGATATAAACTCCTTATTACTTTTCATGGATAAAATGGTGCACCAAAAATCTAGGAATATAAGAAGAGGGGAACAACAATATGGTAGCATATCGGAATATATCAGTAAATTTCGGACGGAGATCAATAGACATTTAGATAACCTAGAGACGAAGCTATGCAAAGAGGCAAATACTCTATGGCGTCTGGAGAAAACAAAATTAACAAGTTTAATTACTGAAATAGAAGAAAAAAAGAAAACCTTTAAGGACATGCAAGATGCATTAAAAACAGTAACCGAACATACTTCAAAACTCCAATCATTTCTTGGAGTACATCGGATTGAACAAAAAGTGCATCAATTCCTACGATATTTTGAAGACATGGAAGATAGTGAGAGGGTCAGCGAAGTTGACATCAAAATAATACGAAATGATGAAATAGATAATATACTAGGTAAAGTGCAGTCTTTAACATCCTTAGGAGAAGTAAACGTTGTTAAAACTGGAATATCAGTAAAGAGAAAATCCAATGTAAAGAGAGAAGCACAAATAGAATCACGAGAACAATCAATCATAAACAACATAAAAATGCATATTGAGACAGAAATAGAGATCAACATTAGTGCGGATATTAGTGATATGATTTGTTTGATGGATGGAAGAGTTATAGTAGTTGAATGGTATGGTGAAGTCAACCTACTTACCTCTGATGGAAAATTTCAGAAACATTTACCAATTCCTGGTGAAGCTTGCAGTGTTACACAGATAAATCAAGACAATATTGCCATAACTTATCCTAAAGAAAAAGCTATCAAAATCTTCAATATGGAGAGTGAAACGGTAGCCAAAGGTATCATTTTAGACAAAGGCTGTTTTGGTTTATCATTCTCCAATAATACCCTTGCTGTAGGTATGAAAGAGAATGAAATCCGTATTATAGACTTAGAAGGAAATTTATTAAAGTCAATACAACTTAAAAGTAAATCACTGTGGTATATTGTTTACTACAATAACAGTGTAATCTATAGTGACTATTTTCGTAATGGAGTTTACTGTGTTGATGGATCAGGCAAACAAATCTGGCAATATAAACAGGATTTGAAAGGGCCACAGGGACTTAGTTCCGATACTTATGGCAACATTATTGTTGCAGATCGTGGATCTAATAAATTGATAGTTATAACACAAGATGGACAAGATAGTAAAGTACTGATTAGTGAAAAAGATAGAATGAATAATCCAAAGTGTATTTGTTTTAAACATAATGAATCTTCTGGTTTTATCTGCGATGTCTCGGGCACTAGTTTAACCAAATTCAATCTATCTTATGGATAGATATGTACTGTAAAATATGAGAACACTACTTGTTTAGTCACATGTAGATTAATAATTTGATAGAAAACACACATGCAAATATGCTAATGAAGGAATAAACTTTTACACAAACGTAACGTATGAATTTTTAATCTAGATTTTGCTGTACTTTTGGTTATTTTCGGTTATAACAGTTTTCAACATTTGTAATAAGTTTTTAGTTTTCAGATATTTTGGCGTGAGCATTACTGAGAGTATAAATCGTAATATTTATGTTATGACAAACAACTACGCATGAATTTCTAAAAAAATAACAAGGGTTACGATTAAGTTTCAATTTAAACATTTTAGATTTTTTTGTCAACAATTATGATTTAATATAGTCCTTTCTGTACTTTTAGAAAAGAATCAATTAAATGTATACTAAATTTATTGTTGAACTAGGAAATTACCAAAATTACCAAAAACCTCAGACTGTGGTTTTGAAATCTTGTTTTAGCGTATATAACATGTATTTATCCATTATCAAAATATAAATAAAAAGTACGAAAAAATATATAAACAAGTCTAAATTGAAAACAACGTTCAAACCTATGATTGCGTTGGATAAAAACCGCAATTTTTATATTAGTGCATGCAAAACAAATTTCTTGGTATAAATACAGCACAAACAACATTTTCCAAAAGACCAAAAAAGTGACAAAGTATATTTTAACAAAACGCATTTGACTAACAGGTCGAACAACAAATATTCTTAAACCCTGATGACTGCCATTGGCGTTTGCCAAAAAAACGGATCACCGATGTAATAAATGGATCTTAATTATAAATTTAATACTAAACAGAAAACAATAAACTTGCGGAAAGGTGATATACCGCAAACAAAAGGTGCAAAAGTTTTTGTACACCATATCTGGATTTCGACAATTAATGTCTCTTCAGTGATGTTAGGAATCGAAACGGTATTTGGAAAGCCATACAATTAACCTCAATTTAGGATAGACTCTTGAATTTTGAGGAGTCAAAATAGGAAGAACAGATCATATAAACCCGAAGGCAAATATAATACAAGCCCAAACGAAAAAAATATAAACAAGTCTAAATTGAAACAACGTTCAAACCTATGATTGCGTTGGATGAAAACCGCAATTTTTAAACGTGTGCATACAAAACAAATTTCTTGTTTGAGGGGTCTAAATACAGCACAAACAACATATTCCAAAAGACCAAAAAAGTGAAAAAGTATATTTTAACAAAACGCATTTGACTAACAGGTTAAACGAAAATAACAAACTTTTTCTTTATTAAAATATCAAAGTCAAACAAGACCAAGAATTTTATCTGAGATATCCAAATTTTGAAACTAGACGTTTATTTACAAAAATTAGAATTAGTGACCATAATTTACTCATAGAAAAGGATAGATATCTGAAAATACCTCGAGACCAAAGAACATGTCTAACTTTTAAAACCTTAGAAGATGAAAACCACTTTCTCCTCTACTGTCAAATTAATAATATATTACGTATAAAACTTTTTAATGACATCGCAATAGATAATCCTATATTTCCAAATCTGTCTGATACTGAATAATAGTAGTCCTGCTATATCCTTCAAATACAAACCAAGTGAAAAAACAGGTTCCTTTATAAAACAGTCTTAAGAGCTGAGGACAGGGGACTCTTAGTTATTTTTGCTTGTATATATATATATATATATATTGTTTTCTGTTTGGTAATAATTTAATAATAAGATCTATTTTATTACATCTTGTGATCCGTTTATTTGGCAATCGCCAATGGCAGTCAGCAGGGTTTAAGAACATCAGTTGTTCGACCTGCTAGTCAAATGCGTTTTGTTAAAATATACTTTTCACTCATTTTGGTCTTTTTGAAATTGTTGTTTGTGCTGTATTTAGACCCTTCTACCAAGAAATTTGTTTTGCATGCACACGTATAAAAATTGCGGTTTTTATCCAACGCAATCATAGGTTTGAACGTTGTTTTCAATTTAGATTTGTGTATATATATATACATATATATATATATATATATATATATATATATATATATATATATGTGTGTGTGTGTGTGTTCAAATCAGTTATTTTTTGTTGTTGTTATTTTTAGTTTTATGTCACAAGTATCATTTTACTTATATGACAATAAAGAATTATTATATAATGCATTAAATATTTAAAATTATAAGTTCTTTATCTATATATCACTTTAAGAACTTAAATTGTTCTTTAATTTTCCGTTGATAAATCATTTAGAAACTATAAGGTTTCAAATCCCTCAGAATGCTCAGGCAAAGTTGACCTTACATTTGGCTATTTCTTTAGGTCCTTTTTGGTCGTACAGCTTGTGAACTGTTTCGGTTCTTATACATCCTTGGCTTTCAAATATTCGGCCTTGAGCGTTCCTGATGAAGGTAAATCCAAAAAAGCACTCCGGACACATACAATTTATAACAAGTTATTTTATTGTTCTACATGCATACATTACAATACAGATAGATATCAACCCACATCTATAGTTACATAAATATATCATTCATAAATCGATGAGTGATGAGCGTAAAATTACTAGACAGAATTTATCACTAAATCATGACCTAATAAATGATATTCAATTTAATTGGATTAATACAATTCTAAATATAAACACTTGTATTGGTTTTATTCTTATAGGGCAGAGCTAGCTTATATGTTAGACAGGTATACAAGTACCCGGCCACGTCCACTCTGTGTTTTTGTTAGATGTATTTCTATTTGTATCCATTTGATGAGTTAAACCTTTTTCAACTGATTTTTATAGTTCGTTCTTATGTTGTACTGTTACACCACTGTCCCAGGTTAGGGGGAGGTTTGGGATCCCGCTAACATGTTTAACCCTGCCACATTCTGTATGTATGTGCATGTCCCAAGTCAGGAGCCTGTATAATTCAGTGGTTGTCGTTTGTTGATGTGTTACATATTTGTTTTTCGTTCATTTTTTTTGTACATAAATTAGGCCGTAAGTTTTCTCGTTTGAATTGTTTTACATTTGTCATTTCGGGGCATTTTATAGCTGACTATGCGGTATGGGCTTTGCTCATTGTTAAAGGCCATACGGTGACCTATGTTTGTTAGTTTCTGTGTCATTTGGTCTCAATCATACCACATCTTCTTTTTTATATGATCCGATTTATGAATTGAATTATTACCCTTTTTAAATAATCTTGTCTCTGTACTTGTGCGTTGCTATTTGTGTACTTTTCGAGTTAATTTGATTTACATGTCAGCGATGATAACATCTTTAATTATATAAGATTTAACGATAAGGCCGCTCTCCAACCCGGTTACACTATTAATGACAATCGTAAGACTCTATTTAAAAACGTTTAAAACCCTTTAAATGGAAATATTATTATCAATATTTACTGGTTACCTAGGCCAGTTATATTCATGAATGTCGGTTAAATCTTTCATGTTAATAAGCTCGATCAGGTAAACTTGTCCTATGATACTTTCTGTTCGACAGATATTCTGGAATGAAAAAAGGAAATTATATTTTACCATATAAACAGTTGTGGACAACTTTTCTTAAAAAAAGGAGGTATTTATATTTCAATTAACTTATTCGCAATTTTAGCTTGACTAGACTTTATGAATTCAAACAAATAAAAAGAGAGGGTTTGCCTGTGATGAATTGGAAAGGGGGGGGGGGGGGGGGATTTTTACAACAATTTTTGCAGAAAGTTTTTTTTTGGTATGCCTAATGTAGTAATACATCTTCATTTGATACTCTAAGTGAGTTTCAAAATCACATTCCCTCGATTGATTTATATTTTTCAGAACATCTTCTTACCAAAGAATACAGGTCGTTTCGCCCTGGTTCCTATTCGCCCCGGGTAGTATTGTCATGATTCCCGTTTGGCACTGGGTCTATTCGTCCCTGGTGTTTACATTGTTGAATTGTTATTTTAAAAAATGACATTCTGCAAGCTTAAAAACAACCCACAGAAGTTGGGCAAATAATGTACAAATAATAAATCAACAGATGAGAGTTATTTTGATATTTGATTTAATTGACATCTTTTTAGCTTACCTGGCCGAAAGGCCAAGTGAGCTTTTCTCATCGCTTTGCGTCTAAATTTCGGCATCCGTCGTCCCCCGTTCGCCGTCCGTCGTCGTCCGTACTTCATTCGTCGTCGTCGTCGTCGTCCTTCGTCCGTCCGTCGTCGTCGTCGTCCGTTAACCTTTACAAAATCTTCTCCTCTGAAACTACTGGGCCAAATTTAACAAAAAATGAAGCATGAAAACATATAGGTCAAACTCATCTGGTCTCTTTGTTGAGCATTTTGAAGGAAAAAGCAGAACTTTCCTTTTTACTACTTTTCTTGGGAAAAAAAACTTGGAGTCAGATGCATGTGTGTTGACCTGCTGGATAGAGATTCGTACTTTATTAGACTGTCTCACAGAAAGAGTCAATAGTAAATCTACCATTTAAAAAACTTCTCCATATTCATGACAGATGACAGACTTAATTCATTAAATAATAAGTTTAACGTCCATTTTCGCTGAACTTGTATACATTATTGTTTAGGGGTCAGCTAAAGCCCGTCTCCGGGTGCGGGATTTTCTCGCTGTGCTGAAGACCCATCGGTGGCCTTGGGCTGTTTTCTGTATTTTGGTCGGGTTGTTGTCTCTTTGACGATTCCCCGTTTTTATTTTCAATTTAATTAAATCCCTATGAAAAGGTAAAATATTATAAATATTGGTATGTATCATATTAACTGGTTACCTATTACAGTTATTATTCAGGAATGTCATTTGAATGTTTAACTTTAACTTCGGTCAGGTATAAACACGTCCTACTTCAGTTCGTGGTAGGTCAACATTTTGAATGAAAGAAAATTATTTTTGCTATATAAACAGCTGAGATAACTTTTTAATCAGAAAGGAGGTATTTATATTTAATTTATTTATTCACAATTTTAGTTTGACTGTTAACTGTATAAATGCAAAGAACTAATGAGAGATTGACTTGGATTTGATGGCGGAGGAATTTATAACAAAATTTGAAGATAGAATTTATTTTTTCATATATTATTTTGTTCTGCCTTATGAAAAAATAAATTCTGTTTAAATTCTTCATTTGTGTATATGCTTATAACACTGCTGTGGGAAAATCACAGGGGGAAGTTGATGTGAGTTGGTGGCAGTTAAAACTTATGTAAAGAAGTTTTGTTCCCGTTAAATTATGATCCCATCCCTGTGAAAAAAAACAATGATGCATATAAACCTCTAATTTCATTAAAAACAATATTGCTTAGAAGAAGATGCCATTAAAAATAATATTGCTGCGAAGACGTTATCCTATAATGAAAAATCACACATACTTAATGACAAAGATGTGTGTAACTGAAATATTATGAAGATGGTAAATGACATAAACACTTAACAATTATCGTGTGTCAGAAACGTTAACACTTTTCTAGAAATACCTTTATCAGGATCACTAAAACCTAAACATTTAAAAGCCAGGGATGTCAAATTGGTCGTTTGATAAATCTCATTGCAAATTTATTTGCTGCAACTCATATAAAACCTTTTTCTCAAATGAGAAAAGTAAATATGCTAGATAAACTGGAGGTGTGATGAGATGATTAGAGCCGTACTTTCTCCTTGACAACATTTATGTACGTTTCGGCAGTAAAGTGTATCGACAGGTTGTATGTATTCATATGGGCATCAATTGTGCGTTTGATAGCAGACGTGTTCCTGTACTGTTATGAATCACAGTTTATGGCCAAACTCATTCTAAACCCGCCTAAATTCCATTTAATTGATAAATTCAACAACACTTACCGTTATCTTGATGATATTTGTTCGTTAATTAATCAGGAATTCTCAAAATATACTGCCAAAATTTACCCAAAGGAACTTACTTTAAATAAATCAAATATTAACAGCAATAACTGTCCTTTCCTAGATTAAGATATTTTAGTTTTACAACAGGAACTCTACACAAACATTGACGACAAAAGGGATGATTTTTCTTTCCTTTTTTTATTTACTTTCGTTTTTTACGGTGATGTTCATTTAGCACCGCGCTATAATGTTTTTATATCCCAACTCGATCGCTATGCCCGTGTCTAGGTGACGTTTTGTATTTCAATGATCGTAATCTGTGTATTACTGGTGAATTATTAAGTCAGGGATTTCGTTTCAACAAATTACTTAAATTCTTTACTAAATTCTTCCATAGATACAAAGATTTGGTTTGCAAGTTTGGCCTTTCCTGAAGAAAACTTATTTTAAACGGAATAGCACATCCACATTTTACTGTGATGTTGTTTACCGAGCCCTGAAATTTAGATACGATCCTGGTAAACTTATCAATCCTTTAAATAAACTTAGGTGAAAGATACCAAAGGGACATTCAAACTCATAAGTCGAAAATAAACTGACAACGCCTGGCTTGAATAGAAAAGACATATAGACAAACAACGTAGAAAACTAAAGACTATGCAACACGAACCCACTTAAGACATGGAGCGATCTTAGGTTCTCCGGAAGGGTAAGCAGATCCTGTTCAACATGTAATTAGATCGTTGAATATTATTTGTATATATAAACATTGATTTTGTTATCAGTAATTTAAAACCATAATACACATTATTGTTATACACATCATCTTCGCTAGCCAAGGGTTACGATCCAGTCCCCTTCTCTACTTTATCGTAACCCTTGGCTAGCGAAGATGTATACACATATGCACTTTCACGTACGGTACTACAATCTGTCGAAACTTATATGTTGGCAATGCACAAGGTCATGTTTTTCCCTGACTTTCTTTACACTAAATCCATTAAATATTTGGTGTGTACTAATAGATATTTTAGTCTTAGATACATGATTTTTTTATTAGTTGTAATTGACTTTGGACTAGCTGTCAGCAACTGCGAGTACTTTCAGATTTGGAAACACATTTTAGTTTAACATGGCAGTGATTATAAATTTTGAACTTTCTATTTTCCCTTAATATTATATAAAAAAAACCCACATACACCATTAATTCGGGAACATTTATTTTTTGGAGGCGGGATGTTATATATATATTTGGTCGTATGTGTTTTATAGTAAAATTGTGAGAGTTGTGTCCCTTTGTATAATGATGCAATATGTCATTTGATGTAATCTGTCTTTTCTGAATAAACGCTACAAGGCAGTAGATGTGTTTTTGTTGATATCAAGCAAATATAAGTTTAGCGGCATGGGGAGGCAAGTATATGTCCCCCATGTACGTAATACTATACTTTGTGTATTTGTTGTTGTTAGGGGGTGTATAAATACCCTGCAATGACCGGTCTGTGTTTTTGTTAGATGATTTTCTGCTTTGTATCTATCTGCAGAGTTAAGCTCTTTACAACGTGTCTGTCATTTTTGTTTTTCGTAAATTTTTTGTTATAAATAAGGCCGTTAGTTTTCTAAAATTAATTGTTTCATATTTTTTTGTATGTCGGGGCCTTTTATAACCTACGAAATAAAAACAAACGCTGGCTTCAAAGAACTAAATATTCCAATCAGATATGTAAGTTGTTAAAACAAACATAATCTTTTAAACAGATTTTTTTTGTAGGCGTATGCGATCTACGTTTTCAGTCCAAAAAATCAATGAAGTCTAATGAATGTTGACTGTTTTCATTTTACTTTCACGGGAAGTCAAGACTTGTGAATATGACTATTTGTTACGTCATGCTAATACGTTAATTTTCAACAAAAAGACATATTTCCTATCTAGTCCTTGTGTTAGCTATGATTCATAGTGATATCGGTCAATAAATCCTAATTATAAATTTTAGCTGGAAATAAGGGCCATATTGAGCCTTATCGAACCTTCTTTGCCGTTTACTAGGTACCATGAAAGCCGGGATGCAACGAATTAGTTCTAATTCAGGTGTATTATTGTAAACTATTTCTTAGGAGAGTCGGGTTTATAAGTTTATAAGAAAAAGTCCTACAGATAAAAACATTAGGTCTGAAAGTACCGATGTAAGGAAAGGGACAATTTCTGTTCAAACAGGAAAACAATAAGACGAGTATTATTTGAGGTATTTGATATTCATTACTACCTAGTGATAATCAAGTTCTGGTTGACATCCCAAGCCAAAACCCTGATTTGGCATATATTCCTAACTGTTCACATGATGAACCCGTTCTTAATCTTTGATGTGACCAAACCTTTACAGTAAATTGTATTATTCCAGTAATTCAAACTAATACGGGACGTGGGACAAGAGGACAGAAAACTTAAATTTATAATCTTCTTACTATTGAATGCAGGGCTTCTAATATGGCATGTTACCATAAAATAATAATGAATAATAATCACTGACAAGGTTAATTTATGTTTATGTTTAGGTCATGGCATCAAGTAAACCTGTACACTGCGGACCATGTAACCAAGGTAAACAAGGTATCAACAACACTAAGGCTGACATCTGGTGTTACAACTGTGCTGAAGGATTATGCTTAACATGTTCAACGGATCATAAAAGAACTAACTCATCCTGTGATCACAAGACCATCGATATTCAAACCTATAAAAGCTATAAACCTCCATTGGCTCTATCAAAACAGAATGTGACACACATAGTCTAGAGTTCAACTTGTTCTGTCCAAGACATTTAATTCCTTGCTGTAATGAATGTATTTCCACTAGTCATTCGAAATGTACTGGTATACAAAATTTAGCTAGTGTAGTGGAGAAAACAAATATTGCAAAATCCAAAGAATCTGTAGAAAAAGATATAAACTCAATCGCACATTTCTTGGATGAAATGGTTAACAGCAAATCAGAGAACATAAAGAGAGGAGAACAACAATATGAAAGTATTAAACAATCAATGAGTAAAATTCGAAATGGAATTAATAAACATTTAGACAATCTTGAGGAAAAGTTATGTAAAGAAGCAGATACTGTATGGAGTAAGGAAAAATTAAAATTAACAGGTTTAATTACTGAAATTGAAGAAAAAATGAAAAAATTACAGGAAATGCAAGATGATTTAAAAACGGTTACAGAACATACTTCAAAACTCCAATCATTTCTAGGAATTCATCTGATTGAACAAAAAGTTCATCAATGTCAAAGATATATTGAAGACAGTGAGAGATCCAGTGAAGTTGACATCAAACTAAAGCAAAATAATGATGTAGAAAAGGTTCTAAGCAAAGTACAATCATTTAAATCCTTGGGAGAAGTGAAGGTTGTCAAAATAGAAATATCCTTGAAGAGGCAAACGAGTGTGAGTAGAGAAGCGCAAGTAAATGCACAGCAACAAATCAACATAACCAACATAACAATGAACTTTGACACAAAATGGTTTTTCAATATGAGGAAACAAATTAGTGACATGATTTGTCTAATGGATGATAGAGTAATAGTAGTTGAACAGGGGGGTAAAGTTAACTTACTTACTTCTGATGGCAATATACAGACACAGTTACCTATATCTGGTAAAGCCTGGGGTGTAACACAGATCAATCATAACACTATTGCCATAACTTATCCTGGTGAGATTAAGATCTTTGATATGAAGAATAAAACAGTTACCAAAGTTATCCAATTACACAAATCATGCTTTGGTTTATCATTCGCCAATAATTGTCTTGCTGTAGGTATGAGCAAGGATGAAATCCGTATTATACACTTGAACGGAAATACACTGAAGTCAGTACAAGTTCAGAGTGAATCACAACTGCATCATCTTGTTTACTGTAATGACAGAGTAATCTATAGTGACTATGTTAGTAAAGCAGTATACTGTGTGGATGGTTCAGGTCAACAGATCTGGCAATATAAAAAGGATTTATTAGACCCAAGAGGACTTTGTACAGATACCTGTGGTAACATTTTTGTAGCAGACAATATAATAACAGCTTTATCAAAAGATGGACAGAATAGTCAAAAACTTGGCAGGCGTAATGATAATTGGGGTTTCATTATGTGTATTTGTTTTAACAAAAATAATGAATCTTCTGGTTTTATTAGCGACCACAATGGCATTAAAATAACCAGATTCAATGTGTCCTATGATTAAATATGCACTGACAAATGTGAGAACATTACTTGACAATGAAATAACAATGTATAATACATATTGTAGAATTTAATTTAGATTAATATTATGGTAGAAGCCATAAATTGATGAATAGACTTATATAGAATAATTTTATATTACCAGTCTGGTTATTATGAAAATTATAATGGTACACAGATTTGAATAAAACACTGCATAACAGCAAATAGGGTTAAAATCAAGCAGTACTATTAACATCACATTTTTCATAATTATAGAAAAAACAAGACAGAGCTGATGCCTCGTCACAGACATGAATATAGCTCTGCAAATATTAGATTTAGCGAACAATGAAGTTGAAGTACATCTTCAAATGGTATATGTTATGCCCTCCATACTTATGATTTAATCCATAATGTAGGACAATTTAGTTGTTGCTCCTTTGAAGCTTCATCATTTAAGTTTTGCAACTTTAATAGAATCAGAATGTTAATAAAACAATGATGTACATAGTAAATGCAATACCAAGAAAACAACTGCTTTTTGGGTGGAAATGTGAGACTAACGTGAGGATCTTTTTTTCATGGGGCAAACAATTATGAATAAACTCAATATCCTGTCATTTATGGAAAATTCAAAAAAAGCACACCTTTACTGTATATGTACTATCATACTGCATAATATAAATCTCCTAGCTTGAAAACTGAACGAGGGGTTAGCTGGACAAACACTTTGTGGGACGGACGGATGGAAAGAGGGATTGACGGACGTGGTTAAACAATATGTCCCTCAACATTTTGTCGCAAGGGAGAAAAAAATGCAGAAAAATTCTTTAGTTACCACAGTTGGGATTAATTTACAAAGTTGGACATATTTTGAAGATTATTATGGTTTATAAACAAATTCTTATAATTCCCATTTCCCAGAGCCACTTACTCTTTTCACAAGGGTATTAAAATGTCATGGAAAAACATAAACATTTATATCTATATCATTTTAGACAATTTTTTATAATCTATATATTTGTAGGACGTTAATGGAATATTTTGTCTTCGTATTATTTGTTTAGAAGGAGATTTTTATTTTCCATCAAAACGGCCAGTTTAATACGTATAAGACACGATTTAAAAAAAGTAATATGAAAAACAATATATAGAAAAGTACAAACAGTAACACAAAATATATTTAAAAGTCAATACGACAGCAACCTGTACACACAAAAACACAAAAGATATCTTAAAGTCAATCAGACTCAACCTAAACACTGAGAAACACAAAAGATATATAGAAGTCAATGAGACAGCAACTTGACCACACGGAAATACAAAAAAAATATCTGGAAGTCAATGAGAAAGCAACCTGACCACACTAAAACACAAAAAAATCTGACCACACAAAAGCACGAACAATATCAAGAAGTCATTTAGACCGAAACTTTTCCACATAAAACACAGGATATATAGAAGTCAATGAGACAACCACCTGACCACACAAAACCACAAACGATATCTATAAGACAATGAGACAACCACATGACCACACAAAAACAAAATGATATCCAGGAGCAAATGAGACAATGGCCCTCAAGCATTCAAAACACAAAAGATATCAAGAAATCAAATAAGACAGCAACCTGACCACATAAAAACACCAAAAATGTTGAGGAGTCAATAAGACAGCAACCGGTCAAACAACAAAAACAAAACAATATCTAGAAGTCAATGAGACAGCAACCTGACCACATAAAATCACAAGATATCTAGAAGCAATCCCCGGAAGCAACCTGACCATAAACAAAAAATATCTAGAAGTCAAGGAGACAGCAACCTGAACTCACAATCACACAGATATTTAAAGGTCAATGAGACAGCAACCTGACCACACAATAGACACAAGATATCTATAGAAGTCAACAAGACAGCAAACTGACCACACCAAAAACACAAAAGAAATCAGGAAATCTGTGACACAGCAAACTGACAAACACAAAATTACAAAAGATATCTAGAAGTCAATGAGATCGAAACTTTACCACAAAAAACTCAAAAAATGTCAACAAGTCAATGAGATAGCAACTGACCACACAAAAAAAAATGATATCTAGAAGTCAACGAGACAACAGCCTTTAAGCATTCAAAAACACAAAAGATGCCAAGAAGTCCATGAAACAGCAACCTTACCACATAAAAAAACAAAACATACATAGAAGTCAATAAGACAGCAATCTGTCATACAACCAAAAAGACCCCATAAAATATATAGAAGTCAATGAGACAGGAACTTGACCACACAAAAACACAAGAGACATCTTGAAGACTATGAGATAACAACCTGACAACTAAAAAAACCCTACAGACATTTCAAGTGGACGTCGCCAAGTATAAAAAGGTCCGAAACAGACGTCACCATGGACACGGTGTCGTTTGATAAGGCGGGTGTCCTCTCATCACCAGACATGACAAATATCCCAAACATGACTCATTCAGATCATCATACTATTGACAATAGCAATAGTACACATACACAGCCATGTTCAGTTCTCCTTAAAAACATTTTGGATTTTGATGACTCTGAGCAACACTGTCTCATTTCGAAATGTGGAACAAATGGCTGCAAAACTTGTGAAATTTTAATAACAGATGCTCAATTCACTAGCAATTTAACTAAAAAGTCTTTTTTTACTAGAAGTCTATAAATGTCGTCTACGGATTAGAGTGTAACCTTTGCGGATTGGTTTACGTCGGTGAAACGAAAGGAAGGCTAAAAAAACGTATGTGCGGCCATAGATCAGATATCAACCTCAATGCAGACTACATTCTGTACCAGCATTTTAATCAGCCTGATCATTCCATCGTTTCTATGACAGTTCGTATTACCGAAAAAATATACCACAAGACTAACAATCCTCAACTTGCAACGCCTCTCCGTAGACAAAAAGAGGACTACTGGATTCGACAATTGGGAACTGCGACACCATATGGTTGCAATGACAAAATTGATGGTATAGGTATTCTATCTAGTCCTTCCTGTAGCTCGGTGAATGTGATGAATATTTTCAACTCTACTCCTCGACGTAGACGCAGTCATGGTCATCGTCATTATACATCACCTACTTTGCATGATGTCTCTATTAATGACTTGCTGCCATTTATACAAAAGCCGTTAGGTATTCATCACATTCGCACGAAACTTTATTCATTACCCCTTTCAAAACTTTATTCTCTGTTCAATTTATGTTTGGAAACCACTGTTACAAACCCTCATTCAAACCAATACAAACTTACAGCTATCATTTCGGATATTGCAAGTCTAAGACTTTTCAAACCAGTTCGCATTGGAAAAGATGAAAAAGAGAAAAGATCTTTTCTTAAACTTTCCTTTGCCAACAAAGGTTTCGATGGCGTCAACTTAGGCAATATCCTTCATCATAAATTAGTTCAGTCGAAAATACCTCCTTATTTTAAAGATCAGTCTGTACCAATAATTTCTTATACCTATACCAAACCAATTGCAACTAAAATTTTCAATTACAAACACGTTTTGCAGGATCTCAACATTGACGACTTCAAGTCTAAACCTCCTGATTGCACCTGTGCTAGTTTCCAATTCACATATAATCCGGCTGGCCACGTTATTACCGGAGACCTCAACATTGTCAATAACTCTTCCCTGCGAAAATTGTTATCCAAAGGTCCGAAATATCGTGAGCCTAAATCCATCAATTGGAAATACAACTTCAAAATACTGATGGATTCAGTCGAGGATTATGCCAGGCAATGGGCTAAACGCGAGAAAGAAGACGTAGATACTCTTTCCGAATGGATTAAGGCTGTGAGGTCGTTGATACAAATCCGAATTAAGAAACTAAATGGGTCTATCAATACCCACGCTACGTCAATTTTTAAAGACCCAAATGTTGCAAAACACTTGTCCTACCTCCATGACAAATATGTTGTTGTCCCCGCAGATAAAGCCCCAAACAACATCGTCTTTGTGTGTAAATATCATTACATAAACTGCTTGATAAATGAATTAGGTATTGACAATTCATTTGGAAACTCAACATATACCCTCACGACACTTACCAAAGAGGAAATCCTGGATAATCATAGGTCTGTTCTATGTTCCTTTGGAATTTTAACCAAAGATGAAGAACTGGATATTCCATCACTCTATTGGATACCTAAACTACATAAGTGTCCTTACAAACAACGGTATATTGCTGGGTCTTCCAAGTGCTCCACGAAACCTCTTTCTAAATCATTAACATCTATTTTATCAGCAATCAAAGCCGGGCTCCAAAGTTATTGTGAAACTGCCTATTCTAGAGGTGGCGTGAATCAGATGTGGATACTAAAAAATTCCAAAGATCTTTTAGAGTACATAAAATCTAAGACTCTCTCATCTTGCAATAGTATTAAAACATTTGACTTTTCTACACTTTACACAAGTATTACCCATTCCAAACTAAAAGACAAATTGAAAGAGTTGGTATTACTTTGTTTCATTAAAAAGAATGGCGAACGTAGATACAAGTATCTTGTCTTGGGGAGGGATAAATCCTACTTTGTAAAGACTCACTCTGATTCTAACAAAAAATTCTCTGAAACTGACATTATCAAGATGCTTGATTTCTTGATTGACAACATATTTGTTACGTCTGGGGGATGTGTTTTTCAACAGACTGTCGGAATTTCAATGGGAAACAATTGTGCCCCTGTTTTTGCCGACTTGTTTCTTTATTTTTATGAGGCTGACTTCATACAGGAACGTCTTAGGAAGAAAGATAAGAAGTTAGCAATGTCCTTTAACTTTACGTTCCGCTATATAGATGATGTTCTCTCACTAAATAATACAAAATTTGGTGACTATGTTGAACGAATCTATCCCATCGAACTAGAGATAAAGGATACTACAGATACAGTTAAGTCTGCCTCATATCTTGACTTACATCTAGAAATTGACAATGAGGGTCGGTTGAAAACAAAACTTTACGACAAAAGAGATGATTTCAGCTTCCAAATTGTGAACTTTCCATTTCTATGTAGCAACAATCCAACAGCGCCTGCAAACGGAGTATATATTTCCCAATTGATACGATATTCCCGGGCTTGTATTTCCTATCATGATTTCCTTGATAGAGGATTGCTGCTCACAAGGAAGTTATTAAACCAAGAGTTGGGCTGGTGATTGTATACATAAGGTTTTCGTTCTCCTCAAT